AGTGATTGGGCGGCTCTACAGCCGCCGGAACGCTTGTATGTAAACAGCCATTGCTGGCTGTTTCAAATCTTTACAGTTTTGTTGCGCATGAGCATGGACGGGCACCAGGATGTTTTAAAACGCCCACCTGCATCTAGAAAGCTCCCATCTGGCCGGTTATGTACAGGCTTACACCCAGGTACCGTGTTTTCTGTCCATACAAACACTACAAATACAGGCATATTATTACTCATTTTTTTTGGGGTAAAATATAAAAGATGGGGTCACGTCAGGTAAATAGACACCAAACACGTCAAGCTGTAAAATTGTGCACACCCTCGAAATAAAATAAAAAAACTACCATACCCCAAATTTTGACAGTTTTGGTGAGCACGAGTGGGCGTTTTAAAACGCCCACCCGCATCTAGAAAGCTCCCGTCTGGCCGTTTATGTATGACTGGCAGATGGCAAATAGTTAACTACAGTCCTACAGGGTTATTCACAAAAGGGTGAAGAGTTTGAAGAAGGCAGGAGAAGTGAACAATCTAGGACAACACAGCTGATTTGGAAACATTCTTCAATTTAGCTCACTTTTCACCTTAGCTATGTTGTCCATTTCTTGTTCACTTCTTCTTCAGTATGTCTCTATAATGTATGCACATATCCCAAGTCACATGCTCATGCTATAATGCCTTCCTTTGACTTCTACGACAAGACTCATCAGTGATGTAGGGGTTGAAAAAAAACAACTATTGCATGCAGTAGGGAACACAGACATCCAACACTCCTGGAACTGTTGAATGGTGAAGGTCATACACTGCTGACTTTTCAATCTGTGGGTCAAAAGTCAATTTTTCCATCAACTTTTGTTGAAGGCGCAGGGCCGAAAATTGTCAGCCGTACAGTGACTGCAGTCGGTCAGCTGATAGAAAAGCTTGGCAGGGGATATTCCCCTATCCACCTGAAGCTGAATGAAAAAAACGCCTAGTATATGGCCAGCTACAGCACTGAAATGGAGGGAAGATAAGAAACACAGGCCAACGTTTTGATTTGTTTGGAGACCTGACAGGTTCTTTTTATTGATAGTATGTTGTAAATGGCACTCGTGATAGCATTGTTGTGTCTTTCCAATCATTAAACTTTTTTTACTTTTAATTCTACCCTATATTGCTATCTTTCCACTTTTAGTGATCTTTTCCACTATCTTTCCTTTTAGTGATGTACGGCTTTTTTTGCTAGTGCTTTTGGAAAGAGCTGTGTCCTTCTGTAGGCTCTAGTTACACCTATGCATACATTAATGTACACCTTCTCTTGCATTGATGCCTTGTGCCTTAAGCAGCCCATTCATTTTGAATGGGCCCTTAATAAGCTTCAACACATGATGCTACACCTGCGCACCATGTGGGGCACAAATGTATTCACCCACTTGGAGGAGACCTTTGCAAGCATGCATTAATGCACATTTATTTCCTAGACATTTTGCAGTTATTGAATACTTAAATGCTGAGACTACACTTCTGCTTTAAATATTTGATGTATAGTATATCTTATAATGCAAGAGCCTATTTATATAGTTGTTCTGACTACACAGGAAAAGGGCTCCCTCATCATGAATGATAAAAATCAATTTGTAGACAATTTATACAAACTCTAATCCTTTTCTTTAAGTGAGGCATTTGTCCTTGTATAGCCATGTAGTGCACAGCAAAGATCAATGTAGTATCAGTGATTAATGTGGTAGGGGAATGTATGTAGCAGGCAAAGCTTTCAGGAAGTACATCAGTTGTAAGAATTCTTTGTCTTTTGGCAAGTAAAGACATTTAACAATGACCTTCTTCATTAGGTAGACGGTAAGTCACATATTTAAAAAAATGCTGACAGGTAGAGTTTTTATGCCAGAAGAGACTCTGTATGTGTCTTCTGTCATATTTGCTTTTCTCTGCCTGTTAAAGTGTGTGTACACTGAGCCGTGCATGTGCAGCTCAGTGCACAATCTCGGCAAGGTCCTGTGCCAAGATGAAGTAATCCCCATGCGCCTACCTGGGAGTTACATCATTCTCACCTGACCAATCAAGAGGATGAAGAAGCTGAAACTAGGAGAAGAATGTGTAGAAGGTTGAAGCTCCAGCAAAGAAGGAGAGTGCTGACATTGTAGGGCTGGAGGAAATAGTTGGCAAAGGTAAGTCAGCCATTATGTGTTAAAATTAAAATTTAAAAACCGAAACAAAACCGAAATAAAAATAATTGTCAGGCCGAAACCGATACTAAATTTTGATTTTTTCACATTTTTCAAATATTTTATTTTTATTTATTTTTTATAAACGTTTAAATGTTTTAATATTTATTTTTATTTATTTATTCATTCTTTATTAAATATT